GGTTCGGGTTGACCCGAATAGTGTCGGGTCAGTTCCGGATTCAACCCGAACCCAACCCGTTGACCCGAATTGACACCCCTAAATCCACCAAAGATTCTTCTTACTTCAAGCCTTCAAGCAGAGTAGATTTATTTTCTGAGGCCTTCACTGAGATGTACTTTTGCCCTCCAATTGGATCAGGAATCAATAGACTAATAATGCTTGTATAACGCGAGAGATTACACCGGAATCCGGATACAACTTACTGTCTAGAGGAGAATCAGGTGCAGCCACGTCATCCAGTACCGAATCACGATACCGAGTAGAGGGTGACGTGGCGCATTTTTATTAGGCTCTGGATGGCGTTCGGTATCCGCATATAATAATTGTCGTATACAGGCAATTGTCGACTTCTCTTGTAGTAGTTGGAATCGAGATATGGATAGTGTTTCGATGAGGATGTTATCCATTTGATCTTGGGAGTGAATATGAAGTTTCTATATTTTTCTAGAAAATACGTTCTCGAATAAGTAGTAGTAAATTTTGATATGTTCAATGAGGGCATTAAAAACTTGATTATTTATAATAGCTATGACCAAAGTGTTACCGCAAAATATGTTTCATTTCGAGGCTCATGCAGAAAGACATTGGAGATATCTAGTTGGAGAATTTCTCAATTTTGATGGAGTTCAATGATGAGTAAGATAAAAATCACCGTAATCTTTGGCAACTTCAGTAAAGGAATTGATAAAACTAAGCAATGTTGTTGTTTATAATCTTTGAGCTATAAGATAAACTTTGTATGTTTTGATAAGTAGTGGAGGGGGCTAGTCGATGTCTCTTGCTATTGTAGCGCAAGAAACTCTTGTGGTATGGCTTGACACCAATACATCAATACGTATTTTATTGAAAGCAATAAAAAAACAGCAACTAAGCCTTAGTCCAACATAATTATAGTTTCAATTTGAAAAATAAAATAACGAAAAAAACTATAATTTTGACTCAAGACATATTTAAGGCCAGCTAATAATATTTGAATACTTTTAATAGTTATTAATTATGATAATTATCAATATATATATATATAATTTTACTTCAGGCTCTATCCGAACCAATATATTTAATTTTTAAATAATTTTCTACCATGGCTATGCCACAGCCTAACAAAGGTTTGTTTCTCGGTTTAACTGAATAAGAAAATTTATAGGGTTTTTTAAAATATCAAAATTTTATTTGAAAAAAACAAAACATTGTTAGAATAGATTGAGATTTATCGTACTGTTATCCTCGTTTGATTTCATTGAATAAATAGTATTGATTTCCGACTGCTAAGTGCACATCAGTATTGTATTATTTGGTAGTTAATTTTTCTTTCATTAAAATGCATATTTTTTTTACTTTATGTTATTTTTCATTGTTCAAATAAAACTTTGAGCTTCGCGGTTACTCTCCATACTCGTTGATTTTCTCACTTTGTTCTCTCACTCTAACCAGCTAAACCTTTTAGTAGGGTCAATTGTCACCCATGAACAAGTTCTTTGAATCCAACAATTACATTCTATTTGATATAGTTACTAAAAATAATTTTAATCACATAAACTTCACAATAATACTAAATAATAATTAAAGAGAAATATGAAAGTTAACTGAAAAAATAAATTTTGAATGGACCTGTGTCTACCTTCGGTCCCAAAAAAAAATGCCTATAGATTTATATAGCACTATATAATCAACGTGAAATTAATAATTTTTGTAGTATGAGTATTCTAATAATATAAAGTTTTATTATTTTAAAAGTATCGTATTGCAATAATTATAAGTTAGGGAAATTTGAATAATGAGAGTGCCATATATCCGTTGGTCTCTATATACGTACTATGGTGAAGTAAAAACAATTTATTAAATGGGGCACTTAATTTGGGGTATAACTTGAATAGTTACCATCCCAAATAAATGATTGGACTATAGTTGGTGGGTGACTAATGTCAGAGGATTGTAGTCGACGAGCGACATAGTTCGATGGATCGTAGTTGGGTGACAATAGTTGGAAGGCCCTAGAGGTGATAGTGGTCTGAAGAACCGTGGTTGGATAACAGTGATCAAATGACTGTAATTGGATGACAATGATCTGGAGATCATACTCAGGAAATAGTGGCGGTCAAAAGGATCGTGGTTGACGAGTGACGGAGGTTGGAACTTGGAAGACCATAGTCGAGCAACGTATGTTAGAGGATTGTAGTCAAGCAATGATAGTCAGATGACCAAAGTCAGGGCGATGATGGTTAGAGGACTGATGTCGAGCAACATATTTTATGAGGATTGTAGTCATGCAACGGTAGTCAAAAGGATCGTAGTCAGTGGTCAACGGAGGTTAGAAGATTGTAATCGGGTGATAGTAGTTGGAGTATTTTATAGTTAGGCGATGGTGGTTTGAGAATCATTGCCAACGATAATGGTCTAATAACCTTAGTTGGTGGGCGACGGAGGTCAGAAGGATCGCAGTAGGCTAGTGGCAGCAGTCAAAGGACTTAGTCGGGCAATGACGGTTTAAGGATTATCGTTGTCACTCAACAAATGCTCCATGGTATTTATTTGAATCCCCTAATTTAATCAACAATAAATATTCAATTGACCAAATATATATATAATATCTTTAATCATAAAACCTTTAAGGTGTTTCAAAATGTGGCACCTTAATATATCTAAGAATTTATAGTTATTAAATAATATATTATATAGTTAAATAACATAAATAATGCAAAAAAATCTTTATCGAATGATTTAAATTAGTCTTAAAATTAATTTTAATTATTTGTTACATTTAAATTTAAATAAAGTGTAACTTTAATTTTTGATCTAATTTAAATACGTTACTTAATTAATATATTCATATTTTATCATATTATTAAATACATAACAATTTATGAACATTATTTTTCTAAAATAATATTATGTAAGGGTTATTTGATTTCACGTATTAGAATTCAAAAGTTAAAAAAATATATACTGATTCAGAAATTTGTTGGTGTTATTTGATCTAAATTAAATCTAAGGCACATTGCAGGGGATTTGGAATGCCTAATATATATATTATAAATTTATAATTCATTTAAATTGGTTAAACTTTAAATACAATAAAAGTTTAGTTTGAGAAAGCTTTCTTAATGCTTTCAAAAGAAGCTTTCTAGTATAAATATTTCTAGTTCAAAAAAATTTTATACTAAAAAATTGTTTTAGAAAATAATAAGAAAGCCGACCCAAACGAAACCAAAGATTCATGGCCCAGACTTCATTTTCCTTATTCGCTTCCATGGCCACGGCGGTTCCACTAGCCTCTTTTATCCATTGTTTGTCATTTTTTTATTTACTTTTAATCAAATAATTCATATATTTTTTAAATATATCTATTTTAAACTGTCACGGTTTAGAAAATTCATAGTGATTAAGTGAGAGAGATTTGCGTCATAACTTTGTATAAATTTGCTAGGTCAAGACCACTTAGGTGACGATAGTCTGACAGTGAGGCAATGGCAATAGCAATGGCCCGATAATTTGTGGTCAGGTCACGATAGTATGACGGTGAGGGTTTAACATTATTAATTAGATGACAAAGGTCCAACAACATCGTTAGGTGTGGTATGTTAGCAGTGATTGAGTGCTGAAGGCCTAACAGTGGCAATCTTTTAGTGAAGATCTGACAACAACGGTTGGGCGGTAGGATGTCTATTGTGCTTATGTGCAGCTCTGAGTCTCTTAAAGTCTCTCATCTCTTAAATCTCAATCCAATGTCCTCTTAATGTAAAGAGTAAGAGACTCTTCATAAAATTTTTAGAGTGGCAAGTCCCGTAAACATGGATAAAATCTGGGACACTTCATCAAAACTATCATATTGCCTTCTTTGATCATAGAGTATTTTTTAGCATTTAAGTATCTTAATGTTGTCTTTATTCATTGGTCTTAAGTCCATTGGATTCGTCTTATCAAAACGCTCAATTTAATTATAAGCAATTTTAAATTTGAATATCATTATGTACTCAAATTGATACCACAAAAGTTTTCAACTACACTTCACAATCTTGCTTTGGTTTATTTGGATTTAGTTCAAACAATTTCTTATGTCGTTGTGATTGTTTTGCCGAGTGGATAGATTTGACTATAAATTTGTTGAAATCAAAACTTAAATGATTGTGAACTCAATATTATCAAATTTTTATTTAAATATACATTTTGAGATACATGCATAATGATACCTAATATCTATAATTAAACAAATTAGTTTTATGCATTATTTTTTATTCTTAATTTAGTTTACGTGTAAGCTTTTTTTTTTTTGTATATTTATGTCAATTAAAATAAATTAATAAATACTCAAAACTCTAATGTAATTTATGATGACGTGGCATCCCCTCGAAAGCGCAGTGGGGCCGGTCACGCTACCAGAACACCCATCTGTTTAAGAATCCCAATCCGGCGACTTACCCTAAGACCTGACTGAGTTCCGATCGGACGGTCAGGACTGTCCACACATCACTTATTAATGTGGTTACTTCGCTAAAACAGACTATTATTGGATACATGCAGGGCAATAGTTGTGCAACCGAGAAGGCGCAAAACTAAGGGTCGTCTGCGCCATTTTTTTTGGCATCATAACCAGCGCTGATCCGTCGTTTTCGCCATGGATGTGAAAAAGCCAATCCATTGATCGTAATTCTCTCTCTCTCTCTCGCTCGCTCTCTGTTGATATTCAGTGTTATTTGGTGCCAGCACACGAACTCGAAACCTAGAAGGTCCCATTTCGATTGCCCTTCTGTTATGCTAACATTTTTTTCCGAAATCTCTACCCTAATTTTATGCTAATGGCGCAGGAATTGGATCATCGGGAAGCGAAGATGGGCGGCGGCCAGTTGATCTCCGTTCACCCCGAAGAGCTCACCTTTGAGGGTAATATTTTCCCTTTCCATTCTCCTTCTTATATTGCTATTTTGGGTATTTTTTTTAGCATCATTATGGTTGCTATTTATAAATTTTTTATCTTAGTTGAGCTAGAGAAACCAGCCTATTGCAATCTCAAGATTGTCAACAATAGCGAGCACCATGTCGCCTTTAAGGTCGGAAACTTTTTCGTGTTCTCTATGTTTGCTCCGAACCAGGCAAAGTTTCGATATAATTGGGGATTTGTAAATTTGCTAGGTCAAGACCACTTCTCCAAAGAAGTATTTTGTGCGGCCTAATACCAGCGTTGTTCAGCCTTGGGATTCATGCACTATTACTGGTTGTGATCCAAATTCTATATATTGTTTGTGTTTTGTTCCCTTTGTTTGGATTTTCTTTGATGATTGATTTGCTTTTGTGTTTTTTGTTAATTGTGATTCGTAGTCACCCTTCAAGCTCAACAGGAGTACCCACCAGACATGCAGTGCAAGGACAAGTTTCTTGTTCAAAGCACAAAAGTGCCACCAACCATTGAATTTGATGAGATCCCTCCCGATACGGTGCGAATGGTTGTTTTAACTTTTAAGGTGGGATTGTTTGTTTTTAATTAATGTAATTTTATGCTCTTTGTGATTGTGTGCAGTTCATTAAGGATGAGGAGAAGGTGATAGAGGAATGCAAGCTTAGGGTGGTTTTTGTTACTCCAAAATCTCGTAATGCAAATTTTGAGGGAGAATCAGGAATCATCTCTGCAACTAAGCTTGCAATGGGAAGTTCTGATGTAAGATATCCTATTTTTTGTTTTTTAGAGCTTCGATAAGTTGTACTGTGAATAGTTTTTATTTGCTTCCTCTGATGCTTTTGCATATATATAGAAGTACATTGAGCTATTTTGTTATTCAATCGACTGTTGACTGCTGGATTAAATTTTTTAATGTATTTCAATAATGTCTTTTCTTCAGTAAAATAGAACTAATTCATGCAATCACCTGTAGAACTTTACTTGTGATGATTAAAAAGGCTCTCTACCACCTTTCCCTTAGCCCAAGGCCCCTTTGTCTTTAAATTGGGTCAATATATTGCACTTTTCATCATTGGAGATTCCCAAGTTTGTTGTTTATGCTAGTGAATTTGCTAATGCAAAATCAGCTTAAGTGGAATGAATATTATTGCCATTTAGGGTTTGTTTGAGGTGGTTGTAGTTGCTTGTAAAAGTATATGTAAAATTCTTATAGAGAAATGGACTTTTTAAAAGCTACTTTTTGAAAAAATAGAACTAATTTTTAATAGTTAATACATTCTAATGAATCTGATTATAAAAAGTTGCATCTCATTATAAAATTTCTAAAATGTATTAACATAATTGTAGTCAAATAAAATTGTAACAATTTTTTGGGAAGCAAAGTTGTGAAAAAGCTACCCAAACTGTACTTGGAGTTGAATTTATTGCTATGCAATGTTTAGGAGTCTGTTGGGAATTGGTATCTTTTTATTTTTATTTTTTATTTTTATATTATTTTATTTATATTTTGACAGAAAATAAAATATACTTATTATCTTAAAAAACATGCTTTTGTTTATTAACCCGGTTACCGCCATTGGTAGCCGACAAGACGATAATGGCGGTGTTGGTTTGCTGGTGATGGTATTGACCGGTGGCTGGCAATATAGTTATTTTTAAAAATATTCGAAATATCTGAAGTTTGGTTTGAGTATTTTTAAAAATAAATAATATTAAAGTTCAAAATTACAATAAGTAAACAAAATTTTTAATAGTTTTAGAAGGTTAGCTCTTGCTGCTTTTTTCTTGTATCATAATGCTACATTAAAGAGAAATGTGATGGTGGTCCCAACAAAGATAAAGGCATCAATCTATTTCTTAACGATGTGTCATAGTATGATAGGGAAAGTAATATGGCATTTATAGTTGTTCTTGGTTAGTAATTTGCCATAGTTAATGGTAGTCAGGTAGTATAACAATTTTAATCATCAATATATTCAATGATGTTGCTTTAGACTCTAGTGAGGTAAACGTAAGTAGCAGTAACGTGTTCACTATTCCAATTTTTTATCCCATTGTGACAAATACTGATTTTGAAGTTGTACTTACTTTTGCAGGTTCTTGCATTGCAGCGCCTAAGAGAGGAAAGAGATTCTATTCTTCAACAAAATAAAATGTTGCAGCGAGAACTAGTATGGTGCTTTTGTTTGCTCTTCATCTTTTTGCTTGTCTAGCGCTCATTTATTTCTTCAAATTTTATAGACTTCAAGCATTATTGTTTTATGCACTCTGTAGGACACAATGGGGAAAAAGGATTCATGTAGCCGACCTCACATAGTGGGATAAAGGCTTGATGTTGTTGTTGTTGTTGCACTCTGTAGAAGAGGTTAGGATTAGATCAGTAATTAAGATTTTAAAGAGCTTATTTGAAGTAGGATTTAGGACTGGATCCTGAGCTTGAAGGCCTTGTCATGTATCTTAAATAAGGATTGCAAGTTCAGCCAATGGGTCAAGACAAGTAGGTAGTTTAGGATTTATTTCTTTACGGAGAAAAATCATTACACAACAACAACAACATTAACATTAAGCCTTTGTCCTACTACGTGGGGTAGGCTACATGAATCTTTTTTCTCCGTTGTGTCCTGTTAAAAATCAAATTCTCATTTAAACCTAATAAAGAAAGATCATTGCTAAAATTTTTTAATCAAGTCTTTTTAGGTCTACCTCTACCTTTCTTAATATAAGTCAAATATAATACCTCTACTTTCCTAACCGGGTCATTGAAAGGCCGTTGATTTGACTAAACCATCTAAGGCAACTCTCTCTAATCTTATCTTCCACTGGAGCTACTCCAACCTTTTTAGGCATATGCTCATTTTGTGTCTGGGTCATCGGAATCCTTATGGAGAATAATCATTAATCCCTTTAAATTTTCTTTATTAACAAACTGATGACTTTTAATAGGACACAATGGAGAAAAAAGATTCATGTAGCCGACCCCACGTAGTGGGATAAATGCTTGATGTTGTTGTTGTTGTAACAAACTAATGTACCATGAAATCACTCGTTTTTCTTAGTAGAATTATTAGTATTTACTCATCATTATTACGTAACACCGCCAAAATGCTGACCAACTTAGCACTAAAACCGCATCATTAACTGTTATTATTTTTTTCTTCAAGAATCTTAGTTTCATCAATTTTGTCAGCAAAAGATCCAATTTTTTAAAACTAAACTTTGTTAGTATCTGTTTTACATTATACCTGAAGCTTTTGCTTATTTTTATTATTGTGTAACTTTTAAAGCTAACTCTATAGGAAAATGGAAGAGCTTAAATGCCTCTTAAAATTAAGGCTTCGTTTGGGACGGATTTTTTACTGCTTCTTACAGCAGCTTCTTAATACAAAAATTATATTTTTTTATTAAAAAATGCTTTAAAAAGGAGTAAGAAAGCCGTCCGAAACGAAGCCTAAATTTCCCTAAATCATCTGGTTTATTTTATATAAAGAAAATCGATACATGTTGCTTGGATCTGTTTGTGCTTTGTAAGTTCTTATCAAGAGTACTATATTTCAGGAACTGCTAGAGAGACGTAGAAGTCGCAGAAGTGATGAGGGCTTTTCATTGACATTCGCTGCCTTTGTTGGGTTCATTGGATTATTTATTGGCTTTATACTTAACTTTGCACTATCCTCACACTCTACTGCGTAACATAGCTTGGTTTGGCGGTGCAATGTTTCTTTAATTTTCACATTATTTTATTCCTTCGTTTGTTCTTGAACCAGACGTGTTTTGTTGCTTGCATTATGTTGGGAAATAATCTAAGCATTGGAATTTAATGCTACTGTAATTTTTTCAATGATTGAGCTGTGAGAGGCTTGAAAAGATTATATAATTTCATAGAATTATTTTCATCCAAGTGTTTTTTCGGAGTTTTTTTTCTTGTATGTAGAGCCTCATTGTTTCTGAAAAATTATTCTACGCTGAAGCAGAACCAGTCCGGATGCCTATACTCGTTGCTCGGTATAACTGGGTACTGGGCGTCGATACCGCTTGGTATCGTGGCTCGGTACGGCTGACGTGGCTCATTTTGATTGGTATTCGGATGTAGAGCTGCATTCGGCGTTTGCACTGAATAATCTCTCGTTGTTTCCATTCATTTGTTGTAATTATCAGTTTACTGAAGAGTATTGTTACCTTTTCTTAACTAGAATGCCGGTAGTAAATATTATCCCAATTATTTGGAGATCAATAGAGCAAAATATATGGAGTAAATTTGTTATTGAGGTGTAGGAGAGAGCATCGAGTGGGATGAGGGAGTTCAGGCTTGAGAGTGATGAGATTGAGGGAAGGAGTTGGGTAGTTAGGGAATATACTTACTTTATTTAGGGGGGTGTTTGATTGCCTAAAAAGGAATGCACTGTAAAATGATTATAGTCTATTTGAAATATTTTGGAGTTGTTTGATTGAGTGAAATAAATGCCGGTTTTTATATTTTTTTGTTTGGCTTGAAGTAAAGTGAATACATCGACAGCCGGTGTTGATGGGGGTGGCTGACAGGGGCGAGCGGTAGCTATCGAGGGCTGGCGGCCCTCAACGGTGGCGGTGGATGGGAGCCATGTCGATGAGTTTCCAGTGTATTTGGAAATCGTCTAAATTTGATGAATTTCAAATATACTGAATTTGAATTAGATGGTGAATTCATTTTACTTCAAAATCTTACTATGCATTGCTTTTACTATAAACCGAACACCAATCTTTTAAAACCCTTGTGTTTGGAATGCATTACACTCCTAATGCAACAAACATAATAGTCCCTAGTTAAATATTATATCATTGATTATGTTAATTTTTTTCTCGCTATCATGATCATCTACAATAAATCAATATATCATTGATTGATTGATTGATTGATTGTTGTTGCAGTAACATGATTGCCTATGAGAAGATTTGATTGATATTTAAATATCATCATATTAGAATATTAATATAATTTATAAAATTACTTTTATTTTAAAAATCATCAAATTCTTATTTTCTTTATTTATCATTTTGAATGTATATTTGGGTGCACTAAAATGGTTGGAAGTACTTGAATTGCATATTCTGGCTGACAGTCTACATGGGGGAAATCATTCTGGGCAGGTACTGGAAGTCGTCCGGATGCGAATCAGAATGTGTCATTTTATTCTGTACATAATAAAAAAACAATGTGGATCGTCTTTATTCGCCTTCGGATCCGATAACCGCATAAAATAATTTTTCATATATGGGGCAGCTTTCTCACTACTTTATTTTTAAGATTGTAGTTATGCAATTTGGATTTGCTTGGGTGACCGTAAATTTTTTTTATAAGGGGATTATGAAGCTCTCGTAGGGAAATTATTATTTTTGTTTTAAATTGCTCTGAGTATTATGAATATTTCTTTTTTGAAGGCTGGATCACAGTTTTCTTATAGCTCTCAAGCTTTAATATATTTGATTATAAAAAGTAGCTTTTTATCCTCGTTTCATAACTAAGAGCATTAACAAAAAGCATACGTTCGGAGCGAGCTCCTGTCTTGCTAGGGCTTCCTCTTCCCGCCGCCTCTGTGTTCTCTCCGCCTCCCTCCTCCTCCGGCGTTGCCGGAGGCCTTTTCCCCTACGCTGTTATGGAGACTGGTCTCCTCGCTTCGGATTTTCCACCGCTCTCCCAGTCTCCGTCTGGTAAAGCTAAGTTCACTCCTAAAAACTAGAATTTGGTCTTTGCACCGGAGTCCTCTGCTCCTAAAGCTCTCAATCTCTCCCACTTTCCCGATGAGCCTGAGATTGTTCCTTTCTCAAACGATAGCCTCTCTAAAGGGGGAGAAGACTGGAATCTGTGTCTTGTGGGATATTCTATAGGTCGAAGACCTTTTTATGAAGCGCTGCTGGGGGCGATTAAGAAAACGTGGATTCTTAAAGGTTCGATTCAGCTACTATACCTTAGCGATGGTTTTTTTCTTATACGCTTCACATGCACCGAAGATTATGACATAGTTTGGTCGCGGGGAGTCTGGTTCTTGCTGGGTAGACCTTTTATTCTCCAAAAATGGCACCCCAAATTCAAGCCTACGAGAGACAATTTTGCTTCTGTTCCGATTTGGGTCAAGATACACGATCTTCCCCTTGCATGCTGGAATTCAGAGGGGATTTCAAGGATTGCAAGCAAAATTGGTATACCCCTAGCTGCTGATAATCTGACTGAGCAGAAGACAAGGTTAACTTTTGCTAGGATTTGCGTTCTGGTTGACTGCAATGCTACATACCCGGAAGAAATCAAAGTTTCTTTGGATGGTGATGTGGTTTGTTTGAAGATTCAATATGAATGGAGACCTTCCCCATGCGATCACTGTAAGTCTCTTATGCATTACTCCTCTTTCTGCCCTTCTAAACCGGAACCGCTTGGAGATAAGGTGAATGCCGGAGGTCGAAAAGACTGTAGTCTGCTGGCCACGTAATTCAGAAGGACCGTAGTTGGTGGGCGACATAAATCGGAAGGACTGTAGTCTGCTGGCGACGGAGGCTGGAAGGATTGTTGTCTGATGTCGAAGGTCAGAAGGACGGCGTCAGGTAGAAGTCCAACAATGAAAAAAATCCATCTTCAGATAGACGTCCAGCGAAAGTCCGATAACCGATAGAAGTCCAGCGTCGGGTAGAAACTTGGCGATGAGTGAAGGTCCGGCGTCGGGTAAAAATCCAACGTCTGTTGGTGGCCAAGGAGAACTCAGGTATCACTTGGGCAAAGTTTCGGCGTCAGGGGGAACTCTATCGTTACTTGGGCAGAATTTCCGTGGCTCGTGGAAGTTGGGCAGAATTCTGGTGTCCCGTGGAATTTGGGAAGAATTCTGGTGTCCCGTGGAAGTCAGGCAGAATTCCGGCGTCATTTGGTGTTCGGGCGGAACTCCGGCGGTGGTCGAGGAGAAGTTTTTCCCTCATATCCTTCTCTTCTTCTTCTCTTCTTCTTGATTCTTTCTTGGGTCCCCTCTCAAGAAAAATGAGGGGGGTCTATTTATAGATTTTATGGAGTGGCATAACCCTTAAATAGGCGAGAGATCAATGGCAAATATGGAGTGGTTATGGCGGCCGATATTGAATCCTTTGATTGTTGACCATTTATCAGACATTTGAAGATCTTAATGATTTCGGAATTCGACGATCTTGGGCTCGTTGGATTTTTCTCGTTGAGCCGCTCTATTCGACTATAAGGACGTCATATTTGGAAACAATTTGGTAACTCAAATTATGGTTTGAACTTTCCAACAGCGCTTCGGGTGCTTGATTTGGAATCATTTGGGCTCGGATTGAGTCGCGTTTGGTGTCGTTGAGTTCGTATTTCCTAGACGCTCAGTTTGACAGTAAGTTCGCTAAAATCGGAGTTTAGGTGATCCCGAATTTAATTTTTTAAGTTTCCAGCTTGATTTTGCCTCGAGATTCGTGCCCGATCAAGATGATTTTTTGAGGATATATCAATTATCATTATATCTTCAATGAAAAGTAAATCTAACAATCCATATATCATATCTAACTTTAGTCTTCGTTTGAGATAGTTTTCTTATTATTTTTTAAAGCAGTTTTTTAATTTAAAAAAATTAAATTAGAAAATTTTGTACATAAAATCTTATGATTCGTTTGGGGCGGTTTTTACTGCTTCTTAAATCAGCTTTCTAATATAAAAGTTAAAAATTTTGTACTAAAAATTTGCTTTAAGAAGCAGCAAGAAAGTCGTCTCAAACAAACCCTTAATCTCTTTTGATTCAAGCCCTTTAACATTTTATGATACAATTGCATTTAAATACTTTGTTAATTATTCAACCCGGCAAACATTAACAATAACATTTAGCCAAGAGTCATTGTTTAATGACCACAAAAGCTCATTCCCTAATCTAACAATTACATAGAGACAGAAGCACTAATCAGCTTGGAGATGGTGTTAATCTTAATCTAATTCAACAAACTCATCAGCTGTACTATAACAAGTTAACAACTAAGCTTCATGGGTTCGTAACTGCTGGAATCTCAATGTGCGTTGTGGGGCTTACAGTGCATCCTGGCTTTGTGCCATTGGTTGCAGCCATGGCCACGGGGAGCTGATCTGTCACCTCTTTCTTTGAAGCAAGATGATCATTGCTCTTTCCCCATATGAGGAAGTAAAGGCCTATCACTATAATTACTGCACCAATAACCCTGGATTTCATCATGCAAAAAAATTAATTAGAAAGTGATTAAAACAATCTAATGATGAAAAATTTTGAGTTATGATAGATTAATTCGTTAGGAAAAGACCAATATATTTGATTAAATATTTGTGTGATATATTTAATGTTTGAAATATATTACATTTATAAATATATATCCTATTTCTTGATAGATGAAAGGCATAGTTGTAGAATATGAAGAGCTTTGATATCTCATACTTAAAGTCTTAATGGTACATTCTTTTTTGTTATGGGTGTCAATTCAAGTTGCCAGTTGGCTGATCGTATTCTAGTTTGATATAAAGTTAACTCAATTCGAATCTAACACGTTTATCATATAGGTCAAGGTGTTTGACAGGAACCTGACTAACCTGAATCCGATATGTTTGACTTTTTTATCATATAAATACTGCAATTTTATTTTGATCAGCACGACCGTTTAATCCAAACTTGTCAAGAATGAACGGGGTCATTTTAAGTTTCTATATCAAGATTTCAATCTGAATCCATCTGAAAAATTAGTTGGGTTGATCCGATTCGAGAATTTTCAAATTAACCAAGTTCATCTAATTCCTATATTTAATAGATCTGTAATCCCATTTGTCATGCTAGGCTCTCACTAGCACAAAAGTAACAGCCCATGCTCAATGTTTATAGCAAGAACTGTGCATACCTTCCACGAGAGATTTCCTCTGCAAAAATGATAGATCCCATAATCGCAGTTACGATCATACAAAGAGGATTGAAGGCTGTGACAAAGACTGGACCTCTCTCTTTCATAACTATCCCTTGAACACAATAAGCAACACCAGAGCAAACTATACCCTGCAAGCCCAGGCACGAATTATAAACAAGAGTTCCTCCTTCGTTCTAATATATATCTGTATAGGCATATTACTTACAGAATAGACTGCTGTGAAGAGCCTCATATCCAAACCTATAATCCATGGCTTAACGTTTCCACGCTCCATCACAAATGCGACCGTTGCGCTGAGCAAAGCTCCAATGCCGCATATCAAAGTTGTCAGTGTGAGCTCTGATGGGAATGATTCCAATGTGTTCGACTGTGAAAACATAAACATAAATATAAGCATGATTTAGGCCTCGTTTGGAACGGCTTTCTTATTACTTCTTAAAATTTTTATACTAAAAAGCTGTTTTAAGAAACAGCAAAAAAGCTACTTCAAAGGAAACATTAATTTCAACTATTGGAATTCTATTCTCTTAAATGAAAACAATGGGAAAATTGAAGAAAAATTAGTGAAATTGAAGCATAGTTAATTACTTGAAGGATGAAGAACAGAGACCAGCTGATGCAGCTCACGAAGAGCATGGAGGTACCCTTGAGCCAGGTCATAGTTCCGCCTTGGCTAGCAGCAGCAGCAGCAGCAGCAGCAGGATGATGTTGTGCTCTTCCCACAGTCCAGAAAAACTCAACAACGGGGCCTTTGTAGAGTATCATCAAAATGGCACCAACCAGCGTTATTGCTGTTCCAATAACCTTTGCTTGACTACGTCTTCGTCTAATATTTATCTTCTCCATTCTAAGTAAAAAAATTAGAAGCAAATCAAGATATTGAAACGCTAAGTTCCGCTTAATGCACTAGTTTTTTTGGGAGATTTTTGAGTGAATTAAATGCAAATTCATAACCCAAAATCTCAACAAAAATATTAAGATGAGCCAAACTCAAAATTTTGGCTGAAAAATTGGTTTAAAAAGCAAAAATAAAATGTTTAATCTGTCCCAAACAAAGTAAAAATTATTCTATGCAGATTTCAAACTTCAATGAAAATGAGCCACGTCCGATATCGAGCTTGGTACCAAGGCTCAATACCGCTCGACACCTAAGCATAAACCGGACGCGTGGTACTGCCGTCCGGCGTCCTACCAGAATAATTTCTGCAAACAAATTCTATCTGGCCCAACTTATACATTTGTAACTCTCCTAAATCACCCACCATGATTAAATGAAAGTTCTACCTTAGAAGAATGGCCAGCATGAAAGTCATTGCTGGAAGTATGTTGTAAAACGCAGCAGAAAAGCTTGCGTTTGTCAATTTGGCTCCCATGTAATAGAAATTCTGATCTAAAACAACCCTGAAAAGAGATAAGCAGCATCAGCTTTGCAAGTCCAGTTAATTAGAGAAACTAGGTGACTAACCAGTTATAATTAGGATAAACAAAACCGAATTAGATGTTTTAAGTATTTACTCCAGCATAGCGAGGGCTACAATCTTGAAGAAGATGAGCGGCGTAATCTTCGATCTGTTCTTCCTGTCAAACAAATATACGTAATCGATAAATATTTTGAATCCAAATATCAACGCATAAGTTGAATCTGCTTCTATAAGAAGTTTTAAGAACGAAATTAACCTCTCGAACCAAAGTGCAAATGGGGCGATGATGGCAGCAGCGACAAGGTTACGGTACACAACCAGAACATAATGGTTCATACCATTCTTGAGTGTTGCAGTTGTGATTACGTACATGCCAGCATAACCAAACTGAAGCAATATGATAAACACATAAGGCTTCAGATTCTGAAACAAGTTCGCACTGCTGCCGCTGGCCGTCTTCATCGCCGTCATCTTCAGTGCCAACCCGAAGAAGTTTTGCTGGTAATGTTAACTTCGGGTTGTAAGGTGAGTACCAGCTTCACACCCTTTATATACTTGAACTGAATGGTTATTTTTGGGGGTGGGGGGGGGGGGGGGAATTTTAAAAAGTATTATTGAAATTTTAATATATAATATTAAATATATATAATATATATAATATATTATATATATATATAGAGAGAGGATAAACTCACCCATTTGCTGTGTGTGTTAATATCCAAACAAAAAAATAAAAGAAAATCCTATGAGCCGATGGTCCCAACTAAGCAACATTACAAGGAAAAAAAATAGAAATCTATACTAGGGGGTTTTGGCATTAAGGACAAAGTAGCAACCATAAAAAAAAAATAAAAAAAGACGACCAAGTATCAACATGAGCTCCAAAAGATTTTAGAAAGAATTATTATTGTAAGTTGCTTGTTAATTAATCCGGGTGACTTGCTACAACTAATAAATTTTCGATAATAAAAAATGTTAAATATATTTAAAAATAAATTAAAAAATAGAGACAGAAAGCAAAAATATAAAGTTTTAATATTATATTATATTCTTATATATATATATATATATATATATGAACATTTTTTGTTTATTTTGATATTATTAAAATTTTAATCGGTAATTTTTTTAATGGATGAACATTATACCGAAAATTAAAGCAAAAGAAAAAAACAATAAGGATTCAAAATTTTTCCTTAAACACATGCTTGGAAAGTAAAAATCATAACTTAATATTTTTTGTTTACAAAATATATATTTAAGTAGTTGACTTCTATTAAGATATAGAAATTATATTTTATACTAATTCTAAATTTTTGTTTTTGTATATTTTTTAAAATATTATATTTAATATATTTTCTATCTATTTTATTTTTAAATTATTTTTCAAATTTTACTATAGCATGTCGTCGATTTAACGGGCAACTTACAATAGTAATTTTTTAATAAGTCGTCCGTTAGTTCCGCAACAGACATATGACTAAGTAAATTTGAGTCAACATAAGTTGTCCGTTTGATGAGCCGACTTTGCCTATTTTAATTTTACTTTTTTGATACTTAATTACATCATTAAAATTCTAATAATACATGGTTTAAAATTTTGTCCTTTTTTATCGTTGGTATATAGTAGTATTTGATCATGAAGTGAATATCCACGTCCAGATTCCATTATCGTTGTTCAAATATGCAACAGCAAATGGCTTAGCCGTCTCGCAAGTAAGCTAGACTTCTAAAATCCTATCCTTCTCGCTTCCTTTTGGATTTAATATTGTCAATTGCGAGCATTATAGTTGCCTAAATTAGTGGCTTTAGTGCTTGCTGAGGCTCTTCGCGTTTTGGAATTTGGGGGTGCGTTCATCTTCGGACGGCATTCCCTTATCTTGATTGATGGATAGCTATTTTAAGGAAATTTTTATTGGAAGAAGTCTACCTTAGTCGCAGAGATTATTATATATGTGCGGATACCGGACAGTTCGAAGGTGAATCAGAATGCACCACATCATTTGGTACACAATAATACACAGTCGCGGTACACAGCAAACGGGTGAGATGAAGCGTTCTGATTTGCCTCCGGACGGCGTCCATATCCGCACAGAATAACTTCATTATGACAATTGTTAACATTATATTGGATTTGAATTTGATTAATACCGAATATATTTCTTCGATAGTAAGAAATTCACAAAATATATATATATATATATATATATATATATTGATTCATTTTTGAAGAATTAATATTATTGTTCGATTTGTTGTCTTTATTAAATAATTATAATGGTAAATTCACCTTATGTAGATTCATTGATCGTTGAAGTCATAGTGCAGCAAACAGGAGAAAGAGAAGAAGTAAAGGAGAAAATAGAGATAACAAAACTGTTATCAAGTAAGTCAAAAGATTTCAATCCTCCGACAGCCACTCATAAAAAAAATAAAACTTGAGGTATAAATAAATAAATAAATATATTTTTGAACTGCACAAACTTCGATGTATGAAAATAACAGACAAATGATATATATTTTTTTAAAAAAATCATTAATTGGAATCTCCATGCAGTATTTGAATGGAATCTCTATGCAATATTTGAATTGAAAATTCATAATTAATTTAGGACCATTTGATCTTTAATTTCAACAAACTTATGGTCAAATTGAACTTCATGATAAGAAGAACCCATTACACCATATGTGATCCGATCCGATTCCAAATGAGTTAAAATCAAGCATTTGAAATAATTAGAAAACTTCTTGATATTAATTGAAAGACAAAATGGATTTCAAATCTTGGGTGTTTATAGTGTAATTGAGTGGCTCAGCAAAAGGAATCCAATGAGTTTAAGATCATTCAATTTTAACCCTATTAAGGCACTCAAATACTATATAAATGTTAAAAAAAAGCCTAGTCAAACTTTGTTTTCCTCTGCTATGGTTTCGCCCTTGCACCCTTGCGGGGCGTTTATGGCTGTTGTCCTCCAGGTGCCTTTTCTTCTCCTTTGATGTTTAGTTTGCCTGTTTTTTATTCTTCCTCCGGCTGTATGGCTGGTTTGGCGATTAATTGGGTGCATGATCCGAATTTCTTGGACGGACACTCGAATAGTCGCCCTTTTTTGGAAGCCCTTTATGGTGCTTCCTTAGTTGGAGATTTTTCTGCCCTTAAAACCACATTTCACCGTGGCTTACCTTCCCTATGGATTTCGAAAGAAGAGTTTTGGCTTTGGCAGCACCATTTCAGTTCTCTTTGATTAGAACTCTCGCTGGTCGTAGACCTTCGATCGATGCAATTCATAAATTCTTCGTCAACCTTAGCTTATTGATTCGTTCTCTGTTACTTTGTTAAATATTAAACATGTTTTGATCAAGTTGGCTAAGGATTTAGATTATACCCTTGCCTTTTCTCATTGGTCTTATTTCATGAACAATTGCTTCATTAAGTTATTTAAATGGTCACCTTTCTTTGATGTAAACGTTGAATCTCCAGTCTTTTTGATTTGGGTTTCTTTCCCAAATTTGTGGCATCATCTTTATTCCCCGGCCCGTGCATTCTCTACAAGTTGGGGTCTTTATTTGATAAACCCCTTAAAACTGATAACACTAGTGCGTGTAGTTCGTGCCCTTCGGTTGCTCGCGCACTTGTCAAGTTGGACTTCACCAAAAGTTATCCTGATAAAGTTTGGCTTGGTCCTGAGAAATTTGGGTATGTTTAGGTGGTGGAAATGGAGGCCTTTCCTCATTATTGTGTTCAGTGCAAATCCATTGGATATTCTTCTTCGAAATGTCATAGTTTACACCATCTTCATAACGTGAAGTCTGTAAATGCTTTATCTAAAATCCATAAGGCTACTGAGGTGCCATTGCCTCTTATGTTGGATATCAGAGCAGCTGTCATTGACATTTCAGGTGCCAATAACTGTTCGCCTCATCCGAATGTTTGTTTGTCTCTGTCCCCTACCGACCTTATGGGTAATTTGGGGAATGTTATAGTTTCTTTAGATGTTCCATCTAAGGATGTTGTTGATAACCAGAATAACTCTATGAATATTTGTCATTCTCTTGTTGATGGTGAGCCTATCATGGACTGTGGAGTGGATGTTGCTATTGTTAACAATGTCGATGATGGTATTGGGGGTCTTGTGGACTGTGACAATGGGAGTGTGGGGATCGATAACATGACTTTAATTCCTACTAAATTTTCACCACCTTTTTCGCCTATTGTTGAGAAGGATTTCTGCCTTGTTATCTCGACAGTGGTTAATGAATCATCTAGTAATGCTAATGACAAGTCTCCTGGATCGAACTTGTCATCCCCTTTTACAAATCTGAGTGAAACTATTTCATTTATAGATGTACATATTTTCCTAATCTCAAGCAAAGATTTAAAAGCTCAATTATCGTTGAATCTGATGGATTGATTACTGGAACACTTTGATTGGCTGGTTGGGAATGCTTCTTCACCTTGTGGGGGTAATGAGGAAGATTTGGATGATCCGGTGGAGGAGTTGTATAGCCTAGATGTTGGTTGATTCATTAAAAACAACTTTATTCATGGAGGTGGCAACACTACAGGAAAAACACTCAGTTCCGATAGATTTTTCGGCTGAAAAAATCCGTTAGAAATTTCGGCGGATTTTCCAACGAATTTCTAACGTAATACTTCCAGTGTATTTTCCGTCATATATCTGGCAAATTTTTCGACGAAATTTCTGATAGATTTCCGATGAAATTTTGAATTTTCTGTAAAACATTTGTTATTAATTTTTAAAATTATTCATTTTATTAAATAAAATTAATTATACTAAAGTTTTTCAGCACATTCTACTTATATTTATGACATGCTAGAAAATTCTTAAATAATTAGCTACCAAAAATTTTCCAGCACATACTACTTATATTTATGACATGCTAGAAAATTCTTGGCAATAGAATCAGAGAGTTCTACAACCTAATTTTGCACAAAGATCTTATACAAAAAGCATGTTGATTGTCCCACTTCAAAAATTAAATCCAGGATTAGGTACTCTGATTTCTACAAATTTTCATTCAAACTGAGCGTCTCATAAATACGAACCCAACGACACCAAATTCGACTCAATCCGAGCCCAAATGAGTCCAAATCAAGGACACGAAGCGCTGTAGGAAAGTTCGTACCACAATTTGTGTTACCAAAAAGTCTATGAACTTGACAAGCTTATAGTCGAATCGAGCGACTCGACGAGACAAATCCAACGAGCCCAATATCTCCAAATTCCAAAGTCATTAAGACCTTCAAATATATGATAAACGGTCCACGATCGAAGGATTCAATATCGGTCGTTCATCCGAACCACTCCATATTTGCTCCTGATCTCTCATCTATTTACGGGCCATGCCACTACAAAAAATCTATAAATAAACCCCTCATTTCTCTTGAGAGGGGGCCCAAGCAAGAAGAGAAGAAGAGAAGAAAAGGAAGAAGCTCCTCCTCGACCATCGTC